AGCGGCTGTACTCCTACTCCTCCTACTCCTGCCCCTCCTCGTTGTAGCTATGGTGTAAGAGGTGTGTGTGTGTGTGCAGGGCCTAGCCACGCCATGCGCAAATTAGTGATGTGGCACATATGCACTTCCTTTTTTTTTTTTTTTTTTTTTAAAGGGGTGTGTGTGTATATTGGGGGTGGAGAGAGAGAGAGAGAGCAACCTCAGCAACGGGTCCCCTTAACACGGATCAGACGGCCCATGCAGGCCATCTGAAGGGTCCTCGCAGCCATCAAGTGCAAGACCCCCTCGAATCGAGGCAGGCAACACATATGCAGTGGAGCACGAGCTGGCCAAATATATAGTCAAGATTTGAGTTCAGGTCTGCGTTTCAGCAGTTATGGGTTGGTCGCGTAGCTAGGGCCCTGTTGATCTCTGGCATTCTCTACACGTGACTCTTAGGGCTTGGCTGCACTACTCACGAAATGTGCAAAATTAGAATGAATCTTCTGCAGAATGTGGAATAATACATGTTTTGTCTTTTGTGCATTTGGTGAGTAGAGGCCCTTAGGGCCACTGCACGTATTCCTAAGAAAAGAAAAACGAGAAAAGAAAAGAAAAACGAGAAAAGAAAACAAAAACGAGAAAAGAAAAGGAAAACGACAGAAGAAAAGAGAAACGAGAGAACAGAGAAATAGTGACCCATAATGCACAGACCTGAATTCGAATCCAGACTATATATTGTCTGCCCACGGTCACAGAGTACAAGTTCGAATTGTACCTCTGGATGACGTAGGATCCTGGGCCTCCTGGCTAGTATGCTGTAGGGATCCTACTGAAAAGAGGCTGGACCCAACTAGGACATTTTTGGGGTATGGAGCGGCCCCGACTTTTCTCCCTCTTCCTTTCTGATTTTCAGAAACGAGGGGAATGTTTGGCCAGAACAAACTGTCCTTTCAACTTTTTTTTTTTTTTTTTTTGGTGCACCGCCACAAGTATGAGAAAAAAAAAAGGAACAAAGAAACCAAACCCCCTCGTTTTCTGGGCCGTCTGGATCGTCGGTGAGGGTGGTAAAAAATAAGGCACTATTTTTTTTGGGCGGCCCAGGGCGTGAACAATCGCCCCCGACCACCGAAAAAAAATTTGGCCATTGGGCTAGGGCCCTCACATCCGGACCGAGATCCGGACCAAGATCCGGACCCGGATCCCGGACCACGGACGGTCCGGATCCCTGTCCGGTGGTCCGGATCGTAGCTATGTTTTTTACCAATATTTTGAACAACGAATTTTGTAGATCTCTCCTTCGGATCCTTCAAAATTTTGTTCCACCCAAATTACGTTCGAATAAATAAAATTCCAATCGGAATAAATTTATTTATTCAATATCAATTCCCTATTCCAAAAAATAAAAAAATAAAAAAAATCTTGGCGATTATTTTTATTTTTGAATTTATTGATAAACAAATAAGGGATTGCCCCCCCCACCTCCACATGCCACCACGCCAAACCAAGAACTCCCAACGCGCTGCTGCCGTCGCCACCGCTGCTGCTGCATCCTCCACACCCGTTCAGGCCACGTCCTCCACCCCCTCTTCCCCCGACATGGCCGCATCCTCCATCAACATGTCTGACATCCGCACCGACTCAGTCGATAGCATCGCCCGCAACCTCGCAGGCGAACAACCACCAGCAAACACCGCCACCCCCGACCTCTCCGCCATCCTCCACGCTCACCGGACCCCGATGCATCTTCCGATTCACTCGATTCTTCATCCCTCTCTTCCGAGGAACTCAATGTCGTCCAATTCATGAGGATGGAACGCAGAGATCGCAGCGCTCGACCACCCTCATCCACTCCATCCTCCCGCCTCAAGAAACTCACCCCCAAGGAGCGCACCTACCTCCAAGCAAAAAGGGGTTGCTTCCGTTGTCGTCAATTGGGGCACCCACAAACCAATTGCCCCAATGCCGCACAATTCACCCGCCAGTCCACCTCCACTCGACCCGCAACCTCCGCATCACCGCCCTCGGCAAGCGCGGGTCC